AATAGAAAACAAGGTCTCTTGTATCCCAGCCTGGCCTTTAGCTTGTGGTATAACAAAGGATGACCTTGAACTTCTGACCCTTGCACCTTTACCTCCTGAATTACAGGTATGTACCATATTGATCAGGTTTACACACTGCTAGGGAATCAAACCCAGGGTCTCGTATTTGCTAAACCCAGTACTTGAGTGGGAGGTAGGAGGATCAGGAGCTCAAGACTATCCTCAGTTACATAGTGAATTCTCATGAAACCTGAAAGGATTCTATTACTAAAAATTGAGCTGGAGAGATGGCTCAGCGGTTAATAACACTGGTTGTTCTTGCAGAAGACCCGGGTTCAAATCCCAGCACCCACATGGCAGCTAACAACTGTCCGTAACTCCAGTTCCAGGGAATCCAACAGTCTCTTCTGTCCTCGGTGGGCATTGCATGACATGGGTACATTTACCTCTATGCAGACAATACACACATGCAATTAAAAAAAAAACTATCTTATTAAAAAAAAAATCATGCCGGGCGTGGTGGCGCACGCCTTTAATCCCAGCACTTGGGAGGCAGAGGCAGGTGGATCTCTGTGAGTTCAAGGCCAGCCTGCTCTACATAGTGAGTTCCAGGACAGCTGGGGCTACAGAGAGACCCTGTCTCGAAAAAAAATAAATAAAATTGGTAGTAAGAATTTTCAGTACAGAAAGTATGCACCCTAGCTCTTGAGACAGACACAAAAGGATAGAAAGAAACTAGAGAAATGTTTCAATGGATAAGGCACTTACCGCACAAGCTTAAGGACCCAACACATACATAGAATCTGGGTGGGAATGGTGGCTGGCCAGTAATCCTCCAAGGCAAGCTGGCCAAGGCTAGCTGAATCAGCAAGCTCCAGGTTCAGCAAGAGACCCTGCCTCGGTGAAGTGCAGTGTACTTGAGGAAGACACCAGCATCAACCCTGGCCTCCACACACACGTTCATGTCCACATATGCAAACATGAATATATACACATGCACACACACATCAGAAAGATTTCAAGTGTTTCTGTGGTTGTTACATTGCCCAGTTACAATACTAAATAGAAACTCTAGTTAGTGGAGGAGCAATTGGCAGATTGTAACAGGATCTGCCAATTACAGGGTGCTCAAGATTCTGATGTTGGCTGGCCTCGATGGCCCATGCTCATAATCCTAGCACTCAACAGGATGACGGACAGTGCAATGAGACCCTATCTGGAGGAAAAAAATTAAAAATACTATGTCACCAAATTAATAAGCTCTTTTTTATTAAAAGTTTATTTTTATGTCTGAGTGTAGTGCCTACATGCATACAAGTGCACCTGTGTGGTGCAGTGCCCACAGAGATCAGTAGGTGGCATCGGATCCCCTGGAACTGTAATTATGGAAGGCTGTTAGCCACCATATGGGTGCTGGGACCCAAACCTGGGTTCTTAACTGCTGAGCCATCTCTACAGCCAGCCCTCCTTTTCTAATAACTAAGATTTAAGTTGTCTCCAATTTCTGAGCCAGAAGTCTGTGATATTTCCTGGAAGCCATAAACCACATCTTAAGACTTTTTATTTATGTATGTGCGTACATGGAGGGCAGAAGAGGGTATTGTTACAGGTGGTTGTAAGCTGTGTGGGAACTAAAGTCTTAGTCCTCTGCAATTTCCTGAAGATGACTTAAGATTTGTTGTACCTATTTATATTTATTTCTAGCATTTTTGAATTTGCAGCAACAGTAGCAGCTACTTGGGCACACACATCAAAGCTGCTGCAATCTCAGGATAGTGCATCTCACAGAATACTGTAATCTGTCTCAACTAACCTCAGTCATCACTGTTGTGCTGCTGCTATTTACAAGGACACTCAGCCAGCTGTGGTGACACATACCTTTAATCTCAGCACCCAGGAGGGGGAGGGAAGTGGGTATCGGAGAGTTCCAGGCCAGCCAGGAACTACACAGTGAGACTCTGTCTCTAAATAAAGAAGACACTGAGAACACAGATCTCTGCACTGATTTTATGACCAGGTACTTGAATAAAGTTTCCTAGTCTGCCCCAAAATTTCCCCTAGTAATGTTTTGCCTGCATTTAAGTAAGAGCATCCGTGCATGCAATGCTGGAAGAGGCCAGAGAGAGCTTCAGATCTTCTGGAACTGGAGTTAGGGAGGGTTGTTAGTCACCATGTGGGTGCTGGGAACCGTAGAAATCTTATCCTCCGTTCACTGAACGCAGTCTTAGGTATGCCAGGCAAGGCTCTACCACTATAGGAAAACCAGGAGTTCAAGGGCAGCATAAGCTACTCTATACAAGAGACACTTTCTCAATCCTCCCTTGAGTTGAGGGGTACTCAACTCTAACCTGGGCTACATAGTGACATCCATTCTAAAAACAAAAAATAAAAAATAAAAATGACAAGGGGGTGGGTGGCACAGGAGAGGAGAGTTGTAGTTAGGAGGGTACTGCTGGGACTGGAGAGATAGTTCAGCTGCTCTTACAGAGGACTCAGGTTTGACTCCCAGCACCCACATGGGGGCTAACAACCATCAGTAACTCCAGTTCCAGGGTAATCCAGTGCCCTCTTCTGACCTCCGAGGCATTGCACAACACAGGTGCATTCACATACATGCAGGCAATATACTCATACACATAAAATAAAAATAAGGGGCTGGAGAGATGCTCAGTGGTTAAGAACACTGGTTGTTCTTGCAGAAGACCCGGGTTCGAATCCCAGCACCCACATGGCAGCTAACAATGTCCGTAATTCCAGTCCCAGGGGATCCAATGCCCTCTTCTGACCTCTGAGGGCATTGCACAATATGGTTTCACGTACCTACATGCAGGCAATACACTCCAACACATAACATAAAAAATAATAAATGAAAAAAATATTTTTTTAAAAGATCAACCTTTTCCAAACAGTGGTCTTTCTCATTGTGACCCAAGAGGATGGCTTCCTCCCTCCTGCTCCAGAAGAGATGGTGTCCTCTTGTAGAGGACACAAGTTCAGTTCCCAGCACCTGTGTCAAGTAGCTCACAACTGCCGTTATCTCTAGCTCCAAGGGTTCTGACACCTCTGGCCTCCTTGGGCACCTGCACTCATGTGCACTTACCACACACACACACACACACACACACACACACACACACACACACACACAGACAAGCTGGGCATGGTGGCACCAAACCTGCAAGGCAGAGACAGGAGGATCACTGGAAGTTTTGAGGCCAGGCAAGGGAACCTATTCCTCAACAAAACCAAACTACAAAAGAACCAGAGCTAGAGAGAGGGCTCAGTGGTTAATAGCATGGGCTGCTCTTATAGAGAGAGGTTCAGTTCCCAGCACCCACGTGGCAACTAACCCTCCCTAACTCCAGCTCCAGGGGACCTGAAGCCTTCTTCTGGCCTCTGTGGGCACTGCCCGCATAAGTGCACTCACATATAAGCAAAACACTCACAAAAAAAAGGGAACAAAAAATCAAGCTGCTATAGTGGCACACGCCTGTAATCCTAAAACTTGGAAGGCTAAAATCACCCTGAGTTTGAGATTATCCTGGGCTACACAGTGAGTTTCAGGATAGCCTGGGCTGGAAAAAAATCCCGTTTTAAAAAACAAAAGCAACAACAAAAAAGATTGCTAGCTGGGCTCGGTGGCAGCTAATCCCAGAACTCTGGACAAAGGCAGGTGGATAGATTTCTCTGAGTTCAAGGCCAGCCTGGTCTACATAGAGATTTCCAGGCCAGCTGGGGCTAAAGGGCTACAGGGAGACCCTGTCTCAAAAGCAAGTGCTAGCAAGATGGCTCAGCAGGTAAAAATGCCTGCATAACGACCAGAGTTTGATCCCTGGAACCCACATAAAGGTGGAAGGAGAAATGACTCCATAAAGTTGTCCTCTCCTCCACACACTATAGCATGAGCATCCACAAACCCACATCACATACATGTATACATTAATATTAAAAAAAAAAAAGAGGGGCTGGAGAGATGGCTCAGTGGTTAAGAACACTGGATGTTCTTTCAGAAGACCCAGGTTTGAATCCCAGCACACACATAGCAGCTAACAACTGTCCATAACTCCAGTCCCAGGGGATTGCAACAGCCTCTTCTGTCCTCTGTGGGCATTGTACAACACAGGTGCACTTACCTACATGCAGACAATATACTCATACACATAAGATAAAAATAGTAAATAAAATATAAAAAAAAAAACCCACAAAGAATGTACTCCCATTTTGGCTCTAGAATTATAGGAAGAAATGACATTAAGAAGATGGCTGACTGGGGCTGGAGATGGCTCGGCAGTTAAGAACACTGACTACTCTTGGCAGAGGACCCGGGTTTGGTTCCCAGCACCCACACGGTAGCTGTCCTTAATTCCAATTACAGGGATCTGACACCTTCTTCTGTGGTCAGAAGACATGGGTGCACTTACATGCAGGCAATACACTCGTACACATAAAAATTTAAAAAATAGTAAAAAAGAGAAGATGGATGACATTTTAAGCCAGTCAGTGCTTAAACAGTGAGTCCCTAAAACTTTTGGAGTTGATTTCAGCCAACATCATACAACATATATACCAGAACCAGGACACCTCAATTTACTTATTAAAAGCCACTTCAGATATGCCATAGTTTCTAAGTGTTACCAAGTCAGTGTTCAACAGATAATTTCTCAGCAATATTAAAGACAGAATGATTTGATAGTCCTTACAATCTATGTAACAATAATAACTATTTATTACATTAATATAGCAAGGCCATTTAAGAATTTTGGGTAGCAGGTTTCAAGCCTACAGTGTTCATCTAGTCATGTAGCTATGAAAGCTATTTCCAACAAGCTGAACCTTGGCAATAAGGGTTTCTGGTAAGATAATCATGTCAGTTGTAGTGGTGCAAACACCCGTGTAATCCCAGCACTTGGAGGCTGAGGTAAAAAGACTGGAAGTTCCAGGCAGACTGGACAACATAAGGGAGGAGACCCAGTTTTTCTATTTTTAAAAAAAGGACAGAATTCAAGGATTATAAATCTATAGTTTTATTAAGACAAAACCTGACAGTACAGTATGAAGTTTACATTTAAACAAAATTTTCAGATATCTAACACATGCCTAAAAAGATTTTACAATGCAGACCTAGACGCAGGTCTAGATGATACCAAGAACTGATGGATCTCATGATTCAAGACAGAGCATTTGGACATCAATTAATCTGAAGATTTTGTGTTTTCAAGTGAACCACTACCCCAGTATGAAAGTTAATCTCCTGAGACCAGGGCTTCAGAAATCATTCAACTCTAGAATTGACTCAATGAAATTTGTGCTGTCAGTAACTGAACCCTGCCAGTCGGAGTTTTAGGGTTCGAAGCTGAAAAAAAAAAAAAAACCACCAAAACACAAAACCCCAGAGGCTCCAAGAGTTTTCACCCTAAGAACACAGCCCTCCTCTCCTATCACCCAGGCCCCCTCAGTCCCTCCTGCGATATTCCAGCCAGTGGTTTAGATGGACAAATTGATATTTATAACCTCATAATTGGAAAAGGGTCTTTTTCTCTAATTTCAAGAATTAGCACCTCTAAGGCAGAACGGTCTGCCTCTAGACTCTCCAATAAAAAACTTTCCCTCTTCAGTCAGTTTCCATCTCCAAAATGGCAGCTTTGGTATCTCAGGAACTGGCTTTGTCCTTTATGTTAAGCTCAGGTAGGGACACCTTGGCTTGTAAGTTTCAGTGTTCACAGCTTTTTAAGCAGTTTCTCACAGTCCTCATTTACGGTGCCAATGAAATTTTTTGAAAAGGCAAAGTATTCTGGACATAGAACCAAATCGTTAGTTAGCTGTTCTTCCCATTGTTTCACTGTTTCCCCCAATCAGCCCCAAATTTTAACCAAAACAGTTCTACCCATCTCCCTTCCTCCCTGCCCCATCCCTCCCACCCCCAATTAATACACCTTAATAGCCAAAAACTACACACATGCTACGCTGTAAAAATGCAGTTAACACTATTGGGAAGAAGGCTGTGGGTTGTGGAGATGCTCTTTGAAGATCAACAGTATCTTTTTGCTCTCCCACACACCAGTTCTGCAGGTTTTGTCCTTCATAGAAGGCCCTCTGCTTTCTCAGCAAAGTGCAGAACTGGCTGCCTTGAAACACTCATCCCTTTCCCCTCCACTGGGATGGGCGTGCAAACTATACAGTTTGGAACTCTTTAAAGCACTTGGGCTGCTGCAGGGCACAGAAACTATGCTGGCTCTTCAAAGGACATCTTCTCAAGCCACCTCTATGGTGTCAAGACAAGTAGAACTCCTTCCCTCCCCACTTGAAACCCACAATCAGAGGTGACAGGGGCTGGAACTCAAGAGAGTTAATTCTTGTCGTCTTTTTTGTCATCATCCTCTGAGGGGTAGGAATGCCACGTCAGCCTTTCCTCATAGAAGGATATGACAACCTGTGGGCACTTGACATTGGCTTCCTTGGCAGGGACCAGGTCAGCCTCATCAGAATTTTTCCTGCAGAACAAAGCACAGAAAATCTTTGAGATCAGCTGTTGTGGTCTCCCAATTTGGATCACCCAGGGAATAGGGATTTAAAAAATATAAGTTCCAGAAACAAGCTAGGAAAGGAAGCTTTTACTCAGATGATAACTTCAAAGATCTTCCCCTGTTAAAAATCTCCTCTAGGGAGCTGATCTGTCAAAAGCTAGGTCATCTGACTCACCTGATCCTCTGGAAACTGCCAAAAAGAGCTTGACTATCCAAATTTCAACGGGAAAACAGCCTATGCCGTACTCTTCCAAAACCAGATCCCAGCCAGTACGAGCTCCTAGAGCAACCCTGGCTAAGAGTACTTAATATTCATCTGGCACATTCTTGCTACTCATAAATTATACTGTTTGGCATTAACAAATGCCACCCTCATACATATAACCTCCATGTAGTTTGAAACAGTGCTTCAACATAGGGAGGCAGAAAATCAGAGTGTTACTACATAATTCTGTTATTTTTCCAAATTTTTGTATTTTTTTCAAAATATGAAGATGATATACATTATAAGATAGAGGCAGTAGCATGGGCAGGCAGTAACTGACTGAATCATGACAGAATCTGTGACAAGGCATGACTCCAAACCTCCAGAACCTCAGTAAGAACTAGAACCCATAGCCTCAGGGAATGAAAAGAGAAAGCTGATATGGTTAAGTTTTTGTGAGAAATTAAGCTGAGAGAATGGGATGGAAAGGGACTAAAACATCATTGGGAAGCTAAAGCATGCTGCCCTCTTTTTACTGAATAAATTCTGAATAAATTTAAGTCACTTCACTACATAGAATTAGTTTCTATTTTCAGAAATGGAGTTATCTCTGCCTTCTAGGGAAATCCTATTAATATATTTTTCTTTAGTTTTTTATCAAGTGTGTTGTGTGGTACTAGAACCCAGGGCCTTGTGAGAACCCAGGGCCTTGTGAATACTAAAAAAATGCTCTACAATTATTCTGTAAGCCATGGGGAAGGGGACGTGTCATTTAAAAACTTGGTTTTACAATCAATGTTCAATCTTTTTTGGGCGATGCTGGGGATCGAACCTAAGTCCTTACACATGTTAGCCAAGCCCTTTACCATTGAGCTATATCCCTATCACAAACATTTGGGTTTGGTTTGTTTTTTATAGTGCTGGGGAATCAAACCCAGTCTTTTGCTTGTCAGGTAAACACTTCACCTCTAAGCCACACCCTAGCCCAGCACCCCAATCTTAAATTTGCAGATACAGTAGAGAGCAAACCAAAATGAAAGACTGCAACCTCACTTTTTTTTCTTTTTTTGGTTTTGTTTTGTTATCTGAGGTGAGGTCTTAATCTATGTTCCAAGTTGTCCTGAAACTCAGCATATAGTCCAAGATGGGCAATCCTCCTGCCTTAGTCTCCCTAGTGCTGAAATTACAGATGTGGAATACTATGCTGGCTGTTTTTTGTTTTTGAAACAAGGTCTCACTCTCGCCCAGGCTGTCTTCAAACTTGTGATCCTTCTGCTGCTACCTCTTGAGCACTGGAATTATAGGTGTGCATGACCACATTTGACCAGGAATGCAATCTTATAAAATATGGAGATGCTATGATAACCATACTGGTCATGTGCAAAAAAAATGCATACTAGCCACACTTATTATATCCTACTATCCATTTTTTTTTTTTTTCTCATAGGCACTATCTTAAAAATGCACTTATGACCAGGCGTGGTGGCACACGCCTTTAATCTCAGCACTCAGGAGGCAGAGGCAAGTGGATCTCTGTAAATTCAAGGCCAGCCTAGTCTACATAGTGAATTCCAGGACAGCTGGGGCTACAAGGAGACCCTGCCTCAAAAAGATCCCCCCAAAAAAGTACTTATGTGTCAGACATGGTGGCGCACGCCTTTAATCCCACACTTGGGAGGCAGAGGCAGGCAGATCCCTGTGAGTTCAAGATCAGCCTGGTCTACATAGTGAGTTCTAGGCCAGCTGTAGTTATAGGAAAACCCTGTCTCAAAAAGACCAAAACCAAAAAGCACTTATGTACTTTTCTAGGCTAGGCATGTACACACACCTCTAGTGTGCACCTTTAATCTCAGCACACTGGAGGCAGAGGCAGGCAGGTCTAAGACAGAAGCCAACCTGGTCTACACAGCAAGTTCCAGGCCAGCTGGGGCTACAGGGAGACCATGCCTCAAAAAGGAAAAAAAAAAAAAAATTACTTTTTTCCTTTAAATTGGAGTAAATAAGCTAAAAGAGGGTCAGAGTCAATAAATACCAATGGAACACACAGGAACAGGCAGTTGGTTAATTGTGATAAAGGCCTTCAGCTCTACTGAAGTTAAGCCTCTTCAGCTATCATCTAGGGACGAATTGGTATAGATATGAGTTCAGAGAAGTTTCTAGTTTCTAGACCGATGAAAGGACAAAGTACCAAGAATACTGTTTTAAGGGACTGGTGAGATGGCTCAGCAGTTAAGAGCACTGGGTGTTCTTGCATAGGACCTAGGTTCAATTTCCAGCACCCACATGGTGGCTAACAACCATCCCACACAACATGGTACACCTACCTACATGTAAGCAATTCACTCATATACATAAAAATAATAAATAAAATATTTTTAAAAATACTGGCAATGGCTTAGAATCATTCTTCCTAGCTTGGCACGGTGGCATGGGCCTTTAATCTCAACACAGGAGGCTAAGGCAGGAGGAGTGAGAGTTCAAGGCAAGCCCAGGCTACACAGTAAAACTGTTCCAAAACAAAACAAAACAAAAGGAAAATTACATTTACTAACTTCAACTGTCCTTCATTAAGAGGTTTCAAAGTATTGTCACATGCTGCCTAATAATGTTCTGGCCCCCAAATGGACAAACATATGATAGTGGTCCCATAAGATTATAATACAGCTGAAAAATTCCCATTACCAGTGACAGTGTGATACATACTGCTTATACCAATTTACTGTGCTGGCAGTCATATTCAAACACAGCAAATACAATTATGCTCAGTAGGTGATACTTGATAGTGGTAATAAATGAATAAACCTGTGACCCCACTTCTACTCATGACACGTCTGTGTTATTACCACTAGTATTTAGAACAGAAAAGGGGGGGCTTATGTTCAGTAACAGTAAACGGGTCTTGCTGACCCCTGCTGGCTGATTTTGAAATTGCAGACTCTACAAAAGAAACTCTACAAATTCTCTCCTATTTCTGAAGCCTCATCTTTACTTACTAAGGAGGTGGTAGAAAGGAGGATGGTCCAATCACATTTCAAAAATGTATTCTTTGCCTAACAGAACTGAAATGTGATTTCTCTCCACAACCTCTCCCACCTTTAAAAAAAAAAGTGGGCAAAGATCTGAGAATCCTAAGGGCCCCTACCTGTAACTCATGAGTCCAGGTTGGTAGTCAAGTCGAGGGTCACTATCGAAGGACTATGTCATCTTAAAGATTTCACACCTGGGCGACTGGAATTTCGAAGGTCCAGCTTGTTTCCTCTGGCATAGAACAGATGGGAGAAGGGAAAAGGCAACCACACATAGCCACTGGCAGACTCACCATTTCATCAGGAACATGAGCTCTCCACTGGAGTCTGTGGCTCCAATAATCCGCTCTGGCTCCAAACCCCGGGCAAAGCCTCGTGGCTTTTCTGACTATAAAAACCAGATGGGCAGAAGAATTTTATTTACATGGAACTGTTAATATAATGAAACCATTCCTGTGTTTCTAATAAATGCAATCTCAAACTTTTTTTGCCAATATTTCATTAATACTTTGGCTCCAAGTGCCAGGCCTGTTATAATCCTTGAGTGATCATTCCATCCAAGTTTGAAGTACACAAAGTCCTCCCATCACGAAAAGGAACACATATATCAGGTAAAACAAATGCTTACAACTGTCTTTAAAGTACTAAATAAGTCAAAACAGCTACCTCCGAGCTATAATGATCAAAGTACTGAAAGCTATCCATTTATAGGAAATGAACTGACTTGCACGCCCATATCTAACACATGTTACACATATTATTCCTGTACTGTGTATAAAAAGTAAGATTAGTCACTTCACAAGAATAAGGGCTGCTGAGATGGCTCAGTGGGGTAAAGGTTCCTGCCTCTAAGCTGATGACCTGAGTTCAATCCCCAGGACTCATGGTAGAAAGAAAGAACTTTGCAAATTATCCTCTGACCTCCTAAATAAATGTAATTAGAAAAGTAGCAGCAGCTCTAAATCCTTTTTGTTTTGTTGAGACAAGGTCTGTCATTGCTCAGGCTGGCCTTGTACTCTTGATCCTCCTGTTACCCTTGACCCCTGATGGTTGGAATTACAAGTATGCACAACATGGTTGGCTCTGGCATCCTTTGTTAAGCATTAGCTTATTTCTGAAGGACAAGAGAGGAAACAGCTTCTGAGATTCTAAAGGCAGAAAGCTGGGCTCTGATAGTGGTTCATGCCTGTAATCCCAACACTTTGGAGGCTGAAGTAGAAGGATTGCCATAAGTTAGAGGCCATAAGTTAGAGGCCAGCCTGGGCTACATATTGAATTAGAGGGTAGCAGACTTCAGTATAAGACCTCATCTAAAATGAAAAGACAGTAGAGTGTGGTGGCACCTGCCTTTAATCCCAGCAAAGGCAGGTGGATCTCTGAGATTGAGGCCAGTCTGGTCTATATAGCAAGTTCAAAGATAGCTGGGGCTACAGGGAAACCCTATTTCAAAAAAAAACAAAACAGCAGCAGCAACAACAAAACAAAAACCCCGCTTAAATGATCTGGCCTTTGGCTTGACAGTATTATGAATTCTGGGCTGGTGAAAATTCTTCTTTAACATTACCTCCTCTTTCTTCTTCTTTGGTTTGCTCTCTTCTCCCTTATCTTCAGAATCAGAATCAGCTTTGCGCTTGCCTCCCTCGGATTTATCTGTTTCGTGTGCTGTTTTCTGTGACTGTAGAAACTCAGCAATGAGGTCAGGGCAATCCAGGTTCTCTTCTGGTTCCCATGTGTTGTCCTCACTGAAACCAGAAGACACAGAAGTGTCACAGTCAGAGTATGCATAGTTATACTAAGGATAAGCACAGGAGAAAGGAGCCAGCTAGTCTTGGAAAAGAGAAGATAAATTATAATGAATAGCTAGATGATTATTATTATTTTTTGGTCTTTGAGTCAGGGTCTCCCGGTAGCCCCAGCTGGCCTGGAACTCACTATGTAGACCAGGCTGGCCTTGAACTCACAGAGATCTGCTTCCCCCTGCCTTCCAAATGCCAGGTTTAAAGCCATGCACAACTACACCCAGCAAAAAGCTACATTTTTATCCAAGACCAAAACGCTGAGAAAGATGAAATTTCCTAGAGTGCTGAGAAATTAAAAACAAAAAACAAAAAACAACAAATCACACTGATGGCTTAGAAACTTGGCTGCCTTTAAGGGAAAGATTACTTTGCAAAAGTGGACTGATCTATACAAAACTGCCCCCCAGAAATTACTGTCTTGGGGTGGTGAGATGCATGACTCAGTGGGTAAAGGTGCCTGACAACCTGATTTTTGATCCTTGGGACCCACATGGTGGAAACAAAGCATCAATTCCCTCAAGATGTCCTCTGACCACCAAATGTGTGGTATGGCACATGCATACTCACATACACATACATTAATATATTTCTTTGGGACTGGAGAGATGGCTCAGTGAGTAAGAGCACTGGCTGATCCTGTAGAGGACCCAGGTTCAATTCCCAGTACCCACATGGCGGCTAAAAACCATCCTAACTCCAGTTCCAGGGGATGTGACACCCTCTTTTGGCCCCTGAGAGCACTGCATGACACAGGTGCACTTATACACATGCAGGCAATACACTCGTACACATAAGATTAAAAAAAATTTTCATAGCTGGGCATGGTGGTACACGCCTGTAGTCCCAGCACTTGGGAGGCAGAAGCAGGCAGATCTCTGTGAGTTCAAGGCCAGCCTGGTCTACAGATTGAGTTCCAGGACAGCTGGGGCTATAGGGAGACCCTGCTTCAAAAAGACAAAAAAAAAAAAAAATTTTTTTTTTTTCTTTAAGTCACTGTCTTGTGTTGAGACAGTACTCTGCAAGTAGGTCCTTCCTCATCATAAGCCATGAAGGCCAGGGCTGAATCAAGGCATAGCCATCACAGAACTGGTGGCATGCACATCATGACTCCTAATAAACAGTTAGTGACTGAATTTATCTGTGTCAAAGAAACTTACTCTGAGAAACCCTTCCACTTCAGAAGGTATTCCACTTTGCCCTTGACAACTCGTCGATCGAGAACTTTTTCCACCACATACTCCTCTTCCTCTTCTTCTAACACCTCCTCCACTTTCTTCTTGTTTTGTTTCTTCCCCATAGTACCCGCCAGCTTTCTGGTATAAAGGGTGACGCTGCTAAAATAATAAAAAAGGCATCAGGTGCATTTACTGGTTAGACAAATACTTGGATGGTCAGAAAACCAGGACGCCATAGATGACTTTGATACTGTATGCTGCATATAATGTTCTGTTTATTCACCCCAATTCATAACAGCTTTCTGATGTCTGTTGAAAAGTTAGCCCCAACTATGAGTCTCACAGCAAAATGAGTTTCTTCCTCCCATGCCAATGCATCCCTTTTGGACAAGGATTTACTCTATGAAGCCCAGACTGGTCTCAAATGTATGAACCTCTGGTCTCAGCCTTCTAAGTGATGTGATTATAGCTGTGTACCACAATGCCTGGCCAGAATGTCTGTGTTCTTATGTATCTATTTAAAACTTTATTCTAGTGCCAGGTACCTGCCTTTAGTTCCAGCGCTTGGGAGGCAGAAGGCGGCAGATCTCTGAGTTCAAGGCTAGCCCGGTTTACATAGTGAGTTCCAGGGTAGCTGGGACTACAGGGAGACCCTGTCTCAAAAAGACCAAAAACAAAAACAAAAGCAAACCCTTTAACCACATAGTACCTCTAATACTCTATTAAATTAAAAAAAAAAAAATTCTTTTACAAATACCTAACAAAGTGAAATAATTCTCTGACTTAGAAGTTTTAATATTCTATAGATATTTTCTTTTTTATCATAACACTGGACTTGAACTTTTGTTTTTGGTCTTTTTGAGACAGGGTCTCCTTGTAGCCCCAGCTGGCCTTGTAGACCAGGCTGGCCTTGAACTCAGAGATCCACCTGTCTCTGCCTCCCAAGTACTGGGATTAAAAAGGTATGCGCCACCATGCCCGGCCTTAATTTTATGTGTATGCATGTATTACCTGCATGTAGCTAAGTGCACCCATGTGATGCAGTGCCCTCGGAGGACAGAGGAGGCTGTCGGATACCCTGGAACTGGAGTTATGGACAGTTGTTAGCTGCCATGTGGGTGCTGAGATCCAAACCCGGGTCTTCTGCAAGAACAACCAGTGTTCTTAATCACTGAGCCATCTCTCCAGCCCCTGGGCTTGAACTTTTATTGCAGGATACAGCTTGCTTTATTAAGCATCTAGTTTTTCTTTTTGTACACAGATATAGAATCCACTCTGCACCATTAAAACAATCTTCATGAAAATTCTTTTCTTTTTCTTCTTCTTTAAAAGATGGGGTCTCAGCCAGGGTCGTTGGCACACACCTTTAATCCCAGCACTCAGTAAGCAGAGGGCAGGTGGATTTCTGAGATTAAGATCTAGGTTCAGTTCTCAGCAACCATTTGGCAACCAACAACCATCTACAACTTCAGTTCCAGGGGATCTGACGCCCTCTTCTGGCCTCCACGGACACTGCATGGCACGGTGTACTCACATGCAGATACAGCACTCATACACATTAAAAACATTTTTTTATTATTGTGTTTATGTGCGTATACAGCACACATGTGGAGGTCAGAAGACAACTTTGTACAGTCAATTCTCTCCTGACACTTTTATGTGCTTTACCTGCTGAGTCATCTCATCAATCCCAAATTTATTCTTTTTTTGGATCTTTTTGAGACAGGGTCTCCCTGTAGCCCCAGCTTGCCTTTACCTCACAGAGATCCATCTACCTGCCTCTGCCTCCAGAGTGCTGGGATTACAGGTGTGTGCCACCACACCCCAACACAAATTTATTCTTTTTAAAAAATACATTATCAAAGTTGGTGAGATGGCTCAGTGAGTAAATAAAAGTGCTTGCCACCAAGCCTGATCCCCTGAGTTTGGTCCCCAAGACTCACATGGTGGAAGAGAACAAATTGCCACAAGTTGTCCTCTGACCTCCACATGTGCATGCTCTGACACATATACACACACAGTAAAAATAAATAAATAAATGTTTTAAAAAAGAGAAAAATCGCCAGGCATGGTGGTGCATGCCTTTAGTTCTAGTACTTGGGAGGCAGAGGCAGGCAGATCTCTGTGAGTTCAAGGCCAGCCTGGTCTACATAGTGAGTTCCAGGCCAGCTGGGGCTACAGGGGGACCCTGTCTCAAAAAGACCTAAAAAAAAAAGAGAGAGAGAGAGAGAGAGAGAGAAGAATCAGAAAAGAGGCTATATAGGGAGTTAGAGACTGCACAATTCGTTCTTTTATGTTGAGAAGTTGAAGCTGCTTTTGGCTGATGAAAATCCCCAAATGGGGCTGTGGAACTAGGGGATATAGCTCAGCTGGTAGAGTGCTTGTCTAGCTCAATGAAGCCCTAAGTTTGATTCCCAACTTGGCATAAACCTGATGTGGTAGTGTATGCCTATAATCCTAGCACTTGGAGGAAGCAGGAAGATCAGGAGATCAAGGTCATCCACGTCTACATAAGACTGTTTCAGAAAGAGAGGAAAAAAAAATAACAAAAAAAAAAACCCCACAACACACACACTCATCAGTATAAGTAATATTTTTCCAGTACCAACGTTCTTTTTACCTACAAATCTATTTAGTTCATCTAATTCTGACTTTTAAAGTAGGCTTTAAGTGCCGGGCATGGGAGTGCAAGCCTTTAATCCCAGCACTCAGGAGGCAAAGGCAGGTGGTTCTCTGTGAATTCGAGGCCAGCCTGGTCTCCATAGAGAGAATCCAGGCCAGTTGGGGCTACAGAGAGACCCTGTTTCAAAAAGACCAAAAAAGGGCTAGAGAGATGGCTCAGCAGTTAAGAGCATTGACTGCTCTTGTAGAGGACCTGGGTTTGGTTCCCAGCACCCACATGGCAGCTACGAACCATCCTTAACTCCAGTTCCAGGGGAATCCAAAGCCCTCTTCTGATCTCCGAGGCACTGCATGACATAGGTGCACTCACATACACACAGGCAATACACTTATACACATAAAACAAAAATATTTTTTAAAAAGTAGGCTTTAAAACCTTAAAATTACCAATGTGTGTCAGTAGATGGCACTCTAAGATATCAATAAAACAAAAGGAGTCAACATGAACTGGCTAAAATCTTATAAATGAATGGATCACAACTACCCAGTATGAGAAGATGGGCCAGGTGTGGTGACACAGGCCTATAATCCCACACTTTTGGGGATGAAGGCAGGAGGATCAGGAGTTCAAGGCTAGTTGGGCTAGAGTAAGAGACCTTGTCCTAACCCTTTAACTCTCTCTTCCCCCAAAGAACATAACATGGCAGAGGAAAGAGCTATTACTTTGCATTATTTTAACTACCAATTTGGGATTAGACTGGTATTCCCGTTGTCCTGGGGAAAAAAGTTTAGTATCTAAGTAGAAATTCTCTCTCTTTGACTGAATCTTATATATATGCTGTTATTTCCGAAATATATGTATCTGTGATAGTTAAAATCATTAAAATATAATTTAAATTAGTTACATTAAGATAGAACAGTTAGTGAGGCATAGTGGTGTATACCTTTAGGCCCAGTACTCGGGAGGCAGAGGTAGGTGAAGTGTGGTGAGTTCAAGGCCAGTCTGGTCTACAGATTGAATTCTAAGCCAACCAGGGATACACAGTGAGACCCTGGTCTCAAAAAAAGAGGGAGAGAAGGAGAGGAAGAGAGAGAAAGAGAACAGCTGAACAATAATAGAACAATTAAAACTATCTTTTTGTTTTGATACAGGGTCTCCCTGTAGCCCCAGCTGTCCTGGAACTATGTAGACCAGGCTGGCCTTGAACTCACAGAGATCTGCCTGCCTCTGCCTCCCCAGTGCTGGGATTAAAACTATTATCTTAATAAAAGTTATCTCTTTGGGGGTCAGAGGAGAAGCTGACTCCTTAATACTTGAGAACTGGCATATATAGGTACAGCTGTACATTATATAAACTACAACAAACCTTTCATAACTATCAGGATTACCATTTATTTTTATTGTTATGCCTTAATGTATATAAATGTATAAATGTACCATGTTGTACAGTGCCCATGGAGGACAGAAGGCATAAGAACTAGAAATGGAGTTATGGACAGTTGTTAGCCATCATGTATGTGGGCGCTGGGATTCAAACCCAGGTCTTCTGCAAGAATAGCCTGTGCTCTTAACCTCTGAACCATTTTGGGCGAGAGCAGAGGCAGGTGGATCTCTGTGAGTTCCAGGCCAGCGCCTAGTCTACATAGTGAGTTCCAGGCCAGCTGGGGCTATAGGGAGACCCCATTTCAAAAAGACCAAAAAAAAAAAAAAAAAAAAAACCCCAGAAAAAAACCCCAAAAAACCAAAAGAAAAAGAAATGGTTCCTGTCTTCCTGAATCTTACTGTCTATATAAGAAAAACAAATAAACAGAAAACCCTTTTTCCATTAAAGGTATTCTGAACTCTTATACAGTGTCATCAAAAAATGTTTTGGGAAGATGGGGGTATAGCTCAGTAATACAGTCCTTAGTTTGTATACATAAGGCCCTGGGTTCAACTCTCAGCACTTCATCAAAATAAAAGTGTCATAATTGGGGCAGGCTACAATATTGCCTGCCCATAATCTCAAGAGTCTAGGTAGGAAAGGCTAAGTCAAGAGGATTCCAAGTTCTGGGCAAGAACTTGTTTCCACATAAACACAAAGATTTGGTTTTGTTTTTAAAACTGTATTACCGGGCCTGGCATGGTAGCACATACCTTTAGTCCCAGCACTCGGGAGGCAGAGGCAGGCGGATATCTGAGTTCAAGGCCAGCCTGGTACATAGCAAGTTCCAGGTCAGCTGGGGCTACAGAGACCCTGTCTCAAAAAGGCAAAAAAAAAAAAAAAAAAAAAATTGTACTACTGAGATAGAAAGACGGCTCAGCAGTTAAGAGCACTGGTTCCTCTTGCAGAGGACCCAGGTTTGGTTCACAGCACCCACATGGCAGCTAACAATCATCCACGACTCCAGTTCTGAGGGAATCCGGCACCCTCTTCTCACCTCCAAGGGCATTGTATGACACAGGTGAACTTACACATATTCAGGCAATACGCTCATGCACATAAAATTAAAAATAAAATTAATTAATTAATTAATTAATTAATTAATTTATTTAT